ATACAAACTCTCCAATGTCGATAGCCAGCCAATGTCATCCTACAATCCGCCAGTTATCTTCTGTTCTGACCACACATTCAAGTCTCAAATACAAACTCTCCAATGTCGATAGCCAGCCAGTGAGACAATGTCATCCTACAATCCGCCAGTTATCTTCTGTTCTGACCACACATTCAAGTCTCAAATACAAACTCTCCAATGTCGATAGCCAGCCAGTGAGACAATGTCATCCTACAATCCGCCAGTTATCTTCTGTTCTGACCACACATTCAAGTCTCAAATACAAACTCTCCAATGTTGATAGCCAGCCAGTGAGACAATGTCATCCTACAATCCGCCAGTTATCTTCTGTTCTGACCACACATTCAAGTCTCAAATACAAACTCTCCAATGTCGATAGCCAGCCAATGTCATCCTACAATCCGCCAGTTATCTTCTGTTCTGACCACACATTCAAGTCTCAAATACAAACTCTCCAATGTTGATAGCCAGCCAGTGAGACAATGTCATCCTACAATCCGCCAGTTATCTTCTGTTCTGACCACACATTCAAGTCTCAAATACAAACTCTCCAATGTCGATAGCCAGCCAATGTCATCCTACAATCCGCCAGTTATCTTCTGTTCTGACCACACATTCAAGTCTCAAATACAAACTCTCCAATGTTGATAGCCAGCCAGTGAGACAATGTCATCCTACAATCCGCCAGTTATCTTCTGTTCTGACCACACATTCAAGTCTCAAATACAAACTCTCCAATGTTGATAGCCAGCCAGTGAGACAATGTCATCCTACAATCCGCCAGTTATCTTCTGTTCTGACCACACATTCAAGTCTCAAATACAAACTCTCCAATGTTGATAGCCAGCCAGTGAGACAATGTCATCCTACAATCCGCCAGTTATCTTCTGTTCTGACCACACATTCAAGTCTCAAATACAAACTCTCCAATGTTGATAGCCAGCCAATGTCATCCTACAATCCGCCAGTTATCTTCTGTTCTGACCACACATTCAAGTCTCAAATACAAACTCTCCAATGTCGATAGCCAGCCAGTGAGACAATGTCATCCTACAATCCGCCAGTTATCTTCTGTTCTGACCACACATTCAAGTCTCAAATACAAACTCTCCAATGTCGATAGCCAGCCAGTGAGACAATGTCATCCTACAATCCGCCAGTTATCTTCTGTTCTGACCACACATTCAAGTCTCAAATACAAACTCTCCAATGTTGATAGCCAGCCAATGTCATCCTACAGTCCACCAACACCAAAGTGTTCTTTAGAGTGAAGTAACCCCCTTCTCAGAGCTTTGCTAATTGACAAATTGATGAAACTTTGTTTAGAGGTCTTACTGATGTCCTTGTTTGTAGTTTTACTTGGTTTTTCTATATAAAATATGCAAACTTTTTTTTTAATTAATTGAATTTTAAAAAATCTCTTTGATCATTCCTGAGTAGAGCACCAATGTTTTGTCCAGACTATGACGACATTGTGGCCACTCAGAAAGGGGACTCCTTCTACATCAGGTGGGTGTCAGAACACTTGGTCAAATAATTATTCCACTTTATTTAATTCACAGAGGTGTCAATTATTGTTATCACTCATGGACAAAACTTAAGGAAGTGGAAAGTCTCTAATTTCACCGGTTGTCTATTTAAAAAAAATTTTTTTTTTTTGAGGAAACAGAGACAATTTTGTTCACTCTTGGTTATCTTGTCTGTCTTCAATAAAGATCACTGTAATATCTTTCAGAGTTATTGTTCCGATATACATGCTAAAAGGTACAACTTACTTAAGTTTTTATCCATGAATGTGTGTTGCACAGCTTGGCCTTTTAATTTTCTCTGGCTATAAATAACTCAATAAACGACTCACTTTACAATATTGTATTGGATTTACTCGGGGTGTGTGGCACAATGACTTGTATAGGGAACCAACAAGTCCTTCCTTATCTTAAGAAATTGTAGCTGCTGATCTGTCAGCTATTTAAGATGAAGCAGTACTCTCTGCAATGTTGTTGTCACATGGAATACTCAAATAAAATTGACAAGGATGAAGGAAGAGAGCTCTGGCTGGGGTCAGGAAGCTGCAAGTCACCAACATATTTGTCCATCAGGTCACCGAACCTCACACTTGTGATTACCAAGATAGGATGTCCAGGACACACTTCCGGCACGACGGTGGAGAGAACGGAACAGAACTCAGCTTCAATGTGGGGGAAGTGTTCCATGTGACGGACACCTTCTACAACGGCATCTCAGGCTCCTGGCAGGTCTACCGGCTCAGTCGGACCCACCAGTCCATCCAACGTGGGATCATCCCCAACAAGACAAGGTTTGTGCCTACACAGCCTGTTTTCAGAGCAGCCTGCGCCAACTCTGGCTGCGCAGGGCCGAGGAATGCGCTCAGGACCAGTTCAACCAAGCCAAAAAGGAATCCAATGAGACTGGAGGGGGAGGCAGCCGCGTGAGTTTCTTCCGACGGAGGGCCGCACGAAGATCAAAGTCACTCAATAAGGAAAACTGGGAGGACATTGTTTTTGGTGAGTTGTGGCAAACTCAGGTAGTACTCTTTCTTGTAAGATTGGTCTCAAATATGTTTGTAGTTGAATCAACCACCACCATTTTAATTAATTGCCATGTCCTTGATATCAAGTTGATACTAACCACTCCTCTATTTCACACAACATTCTGCCATGTGGGAGATTTTATACCACTACATTGCAATGTTCAGTACTTTCTCACCAACTTGCGCATGCACAGATGGCCTCTCCAAGTTTCCTGCATATGAGCGAGTGACCCTCAAGCACCGTAAGTGTTGCCGCCATCCTGTCTGCGCTGCGTGAGTTTGACTTGTGGTTCAGCTGGATTTGTGCGGCCCATTGTACTGTTCGGCCCCCTTGCTGAGCTGGCTAGGGACAAGCTGCTCAAGGACTACCCTGATAAGTTCATTGCGCCGTGTAAGTACCTGAACTCCAGATGGGAGTTGTGTGAGTCCGAGTGTGGCCTGCGCAGCGTACGACGGAATCCTGGAGGACACTGGCAGGAATTCCAAGTCCCCACCCACCATTATACGTCTCAGTGCAATCAAAGAAATTGTTGAGAAGGTGGGTCACAGCTTACTTCCCTTGTGGCCGTCATCTCACTGAGGCCACATACACACAGAGGCTCCAGAGCTGAAGACCAACTCTGATGAAATCATTGTACCAATGTCTCATTGTTGGTTCACACAAAATTCTACTTCAAAGTAAATAAAGAATTATCACAAAGTGATGACACATGGTGTGGTTGGAACATCATGATATATTTATTCAGTCTAGTGCAATTGGAGCTACTTGATGTAAAGAATCTGCCCACAGCTGGCCATTGTTGCGCAGGGCAAGCACGCAGTCCTGGACATCCCGCCCACAGCAGTGGACAGACTCAACTACGCACAGTTCTACCCCATTGTCATCTTCCTGAGGGCGGAGAACAAACACACTGTGAAGGAGCTCCTGTCCCGGATGCCCAAGTCCTCTTCTTCCAAGAGCACAAAGAAGCTGTACGACCAGGCTGTCAAGCTGGAGAAACTCTGGAGCCATATTTTCACCGGTGAGTTACATAGGGACTCTGATCACCTTCCTTCTGTTGGATGGCCGGACCTTCCATCCTCCACTGTGGAGCCACTGCGAGACACAGGGTGTGTGTGTAGCCATCATCACACTGAGCAGCGCTGACATGTGGTACAAGAAAGTGCGGGAAACCATCGACAAGCAGCAGGGCTCCCAGATCTGGATGTCAGAGTCGAAGCCGAAGGAAGCCATCGGGGACGACTTCCTGTTCCCACTGTCGCCGTCCCAGCGGCTGAGCTATGCCTCCAGCCCCGACCTGGACCTGTCGCCCCCCCGGCCCACCTCCCCCATGATGAAGGCCTCCAGTGACCCCAGCATCGCCACCCAGGAGGAGACGGTCCCTCACTACCGGCCAGTCCCCAGGCAGGTGGGTCCCCGTGTTTGTTGGTCAAATTGTGCAATGTAGAAAGGTCAATTTATAAGTGGCTTAGATTCTTATTTCTGCAAATCTCGTAAAGTAACATGTTATACATGATTGTTGCCAAGTGCTAAATGATTTGTACTTTTGTCTGAACTACACTGATAACATCATCACACATAATAATTTATCCATTTAAACTGTGATCTTGGGAATCTCTCATTGTACCTCCCATTCTCCAAAACATTTCGTACTCTCAGGAAAGTTGCTAAATAAGGCTTGCTGTGTCCCTACCCTCACCCTACAGTTGTACTATTTACTTTTATTTCTGCAGCCATTAAATGGAAGCATGTGTTGGGAGGGCTGGGCTCATCAGTGGTGAACCCTTCCAGCACTGCTGCTATCTGCTGTTCACCACTGAACCCCCCCCCCCCCCCCGGTATAAAATAGTTCATGCTTCCATTTAGTGGCTGCTGAAAGCTGATCTCCAGCACCAACATGGATGGCACTGCAGAGACCAAGTGTTGTGTGCCCCAGGAACCCCCCCAGATCCCGGAGCCCTCCACCCCCATCCAGAGAAGGGGCTACCTAGGTACGACATGTCAGTTTTCTTTAAACATTCCCTAGGTCCATCTATGGGAACCTTCCTCCAGTGTACATAACCCACGTGCAGCCATGTTGTGACTGACCCTGCTGTGACAGAGGAGAACGAGTACTTTGTGTCCCGCTACGCCAGCATCAGTCCGGGGATGCGACAGTCCATCCTGCACAATGGGGACTCCAGCTATGGTAGGTGGAACTGCTGCTGTTGATGGCCTGGTCATTTAAGTCTTTGGTTTTTGTCCTTCTCGATTAAAAAAGGATGTACAGTAAACCCTCTCTCTAAACACCTTGATGTAGTGGTGTTCTCTGACATGAGCAGTTTATTTGTAGAAATGGAAACTTTGTAGAGAGGTAATCTCTAGCAGGAGTGTCCTCTCATGGAGGTTGTTCTACTGTATTGGTGATGGAAACTGTCCTGGAAACGTCACACCACATCCCTACTTATGAACCTAGCCACATGTTTCTATTTGGTCTAAATTGCTAGGTTTCTAGGTAAGGATTGTGGTGTGTGATGGTCCTTCTACATTAAGGGGATCTCCCATAGTTCCTTCCTGATGAAGCTTTCTCCTGACACCAACATTTCAGCAGGGTTTGACTGCCTGGAGCCCCCCCGGGTGGTTGGTGGCGCGGGTATACCGCCACCGTCGGTTGACATGAACAACAAGGTCCCCCCGCCACGGGTGGACCGCGCCAGCAAACCTACGCAATTCCGGGACAACATCCCTTACAGAATGCCTCCCCGTGAGTCCAACAATTGTCCTAGTTGTGGCATTTACATGATCTCAGCCTGCTGCGACTTATTGATTTCAATATTTCAGCAAGCAGTCAAGGCTGCAAGAGAGACCAAATAAGGAAATTACAATTTTGATAACAAATGCTGTGATTAAAATGTCCCATAGAATTTACATTCTTGGACAAAACTTAAGGAACCTTTCAGCATGTATATCAGGACAATAACTCTGAAAGATATTACAGTGACCTTTATTGAAGACACACAGAGAACCTGTCTCCTGTCTCCTGCCTCTGTCTCCTTCAAAAAAATAGATGACCTGCGACATCAAAGACTTTCTACTTCCTTAAGTATTGTCCATGAGTGGATTTAATTGCTCTTGTTGCCGATAAAGCACAATTTGGATTATAGATTATAATAAAGAAAATTACACCTAATCCAAATAATTTATTAGTGTGTGACGTTTCGGCAACAACATTGTCACCATCATCAGACAAAATAATTTATTCTTTTGCCTGATGATGGTGACAATGTTGTTGCCGAAACGTCACACACTAATAAATTATTTGGATTAGGTGTAATTTTCTTTTATTGCCATCTGCTCTTGTTGCCATCTCATCTGTAATCCAAGTTGTACCTCTTGGACCATGTACCAGATGACTTGGACCATGCATAGAGGTAACTGTGGCCTTCTCTGTCCTAGTGACAAAGCCATTTACAGGATGCAGAGCACCTTTTTCAAAAAATCTCTAAACATTTTCTCCACTTTTTCAATAATGATCCCAACACTAGCACACACTTTCTCTACACAAGTTTATAAAGTTTAATTATTTAACAGTGAACTGAGATCCTGGCCGTGGAACTGCCATCTATGGAACAAACTAAATGTTATTTTGTATTCCCCATTTGTCAACATGGTGTGTACAGCTGCGGCCCACATGAACAACAGGTCCATGGAAGCTCCCGACTACATCAACACCAAGTCCCAATCTCTGGAGAGAGCCCGGCTGCCGGTACCTGTTTCCTCTGATTGTTTAATGCTCCACTCCTTGTGCTGTGGTTTGTTGGGGTGAACTGAGCTTTCTTCTGGTCAATTGTCAATGAAATCTTCACTCAGCAACTATATGGGGGGGGGGGGAGAGTAAATTGGAATTACAGGGCAAAAGCTTGGTTCTAACATCACATTTCTCAATTGTTTCCCCTGGGGTTATAACAACAACAACAGCAATGTCATAATACCTTAGTTCCCCCAAGTGGTGCTCTACAAGGATAAGTTGTGCAAAGATTCCTCAAGCTGACCAGGGATGTTGTGACAGATGGATGGGGTCTATGACTTCACCAGCTATGGCGGCGGTGGCGGCGGGCCTCAGTATCCCTCCAACCTGCCGCGCGACCGCTACAGCGCAGTGAGCGGAGGCTACCGGCCTCCTCCGCCTCATGTGCCCCCCAAGTACACGTAAGGGACTCTGTGTGCTCAATGCTGCGGTGTGACAACTCTGTGGAACAGGAACAAGCCCATGGTGGAACCCCCTCCTCCCAAGCCACAGCCCTACAGGTAATGTTCTCTGTTGTCCTCCATATGGCAGAGCTGACTGTCCCCAGGTGGCGGATAGGGGAATGACCTTCAGATATGAAGGCCAGCTGTGAAACAAGCAGAATAACTCTGACGGATAAGCAGTCACAGACCAACAGCAGCATTGTTAGAAAGAACTCTTTAAAAACCAGGAGTTCTACTGTTGATGGACCTCAGCAAGGGTCCAGGGATACGGAGGTCTGTACTCATGTTAGAGTTGGCAGCAAAGGCTTCCATGTTAGGAACAGCCACAAATTACACTCGGACTTTCACCTAAGTGGCATAATCAATGAAAGCTACTCCATGAGATCATTAGATGCACTAAACAGGACCTTTGGGAGACACCGTGGCTTATCATCAACCAGCTCGAGAACCCTTGAAGGTGATAAGAAACCACAAACTGCTCACTTCTGTGTATCTCGTGGTGTGCAGCCGACTGACAGACCGCCCAGTTCCCCCACCCAAGCCGGCTGGCTACATGGCCCAGCCGAAGACGTGGCCCCCGGATGACAGCCTGGCCCCGCCCCCCTACTCCATGGACCCCCGCTACGACCGGCCCCTCCCCCGGCCCTACCCTCCCCGGGGCCATGAGCCTCCACCCTACTCCCCCACCACCAGCCTCATCGAGCGCGGCTCCGCCTTCGAGCTGTACAAGAAGCCTGAGCGGGCCATGTACCCTAAGTGACCTCTGCGCAGAATTATGTAAATAGAAGCTTTCAGCACAGCTCTCTCTCAGCAACAGTCCTGCAATAACATACGTCGTCTGCTTGAAGGCAATAGGAGAGTTTGGTAACTCCGGGTTGGATTGGCTTCCAAGAACACATTATTTCTCTATTTTAAAGTTTAAAATACTTTTTCTACAATTCAAACTGAGTGTGAAACTTTCTCACCACTAAACTTTCCTCCCACTTGTTTCAACTCGGCTCTTGCTACTTAATACCATCTCTCACCATTCCTGTGCGTCACTCCCTTCTTTTACATCCTGTGAAAAGTCCTGAAGTGTAGGAGCACCCGGCTGCCAAAATTGAGTTGGATTCTTGTTACTTTTGAGATTTACATTCGGCCACACTGGTGGAGGAAAACAAAGCAACATTCCAACCACAACACTCTCGGCGGCCATTTCAAAGGAATCACTCCCGCCATCATTCCTCTCTTGCCAATATGCAAACTGAGATTTCATATGCAAATTTTTCCCGCATCTCCCTAGAATTTCCCTTCCATTTATTCCAAGAGGCCAACGTCATACTCTCTATATATTTATACACACACATATAAATTCACATTATATATATAAAGCTGTTTTTGTTTGTTGTTATTTAGAATCAACATTTATATATTTGCATATTGTTTTATATTTAGCAAAACTAGAGAAAGAACCAAACACTCAATTTTAATATATTGTGTACATCATCCCTCCCTATACTCAGTCACCACCTGTGTATAAATGTAAATACAAGAAATAAATATTAATTTGTTTATTTTGATAACTGTGTTTCCCTTCACTGTGAAACTAACAATCATTGTGACTAACAATTGGGAAAAAGCTTTCATGTGAGCAAAGATGTTCTTCTGTTCATACACTGAAGCTAGAGATAACTCTGACAGAGAGATAAGCAATCGCGGACCAACAGCAGCATTGTTAGAAGAGGAGAAATAACTCTTTAAAAATCCTGAGTTCAACTGACCCAGTTGATGGACCTCAGCAAGGGTCCAGGGATACAGAGGTCTCTACTCATGTTAGAGTCAGCAGCGAAGGCTCCATGTTAGGAACAGCCTCAAATTACACTCAGACTTTCACCTAAGTGTAATCCCAAAAACTGCACCCCATTACATGAGGTCAAAGTTGATTTATAATGCTCGAGGAGCATGGAATTTGTGTAATCCTTAGACAAATTCCACGAGTCCATTATCCTCGAGCTGTTTTATGATAAACAGTGGCCTCTCCCAAAGGTCCTGTTTAGTGTATCTAATGCAAGCCAAAATGTGTTCTGGAGCTGTAGGAGAACTATGTGGACACTGGTTATAAAACTTGGCTTAGTACAATAGAGGTTTGTAAACTACAACTTTTTGTTAAGGCACAATTCAGACCTTGTGAACTTTTTGTTTATGTTCTCTATTGGCTCCATCTTATGGAATTGAATCCTCTCAACTGGTGAAACTTTGGAAAAACTATTTTTGATTAAATAAAAAGTGATATGCTAAACTTGATGTATGCATGAAGGAACATGTGGCCACTGGACATGAAGTCAGACCTGGAGGCTGTTGTTGGATGCTGCCTGGAGTACAGGAGCTCCATCTATTCTTCCTTCCTTACTGTGGTGAATCTTGACAGAGGTGGTGGCCTGCTTCTGACATAAGGAGCAGACACCATGTGCCACCGCTCCTAACAAGGAGTACAAACGCTGCCATTTTGGCTTGTATTAGATGTACTAAACAGGACGTTTGGGAGAGGCCGCTGCTTATCATAAAAGCTCGAGGAGCATGAACTCATGGAATTTGTGTTATCTTTACAGAAGGGGATAAGAAATAACAACACAAACGCTGCTCATCCTGGAACCCTCACAGCCCCCGGAGAGTATTTCTGAACTAAATAAACATTTAAAATAGGATCCAAACATTGATGGAACTACAGTGGAAGAATTAGCTTCAAACCTCCCACAGAACCCAATTGAATGGTGATTGCCATATTTATGTTCCAAAGGACAAGTGCCCAGAGCAGCAGCTTTACACACCCAAGATAGCGGACATTGCCGTGATAGAGATGTACGGAGACATCTGAGGCTCTTCATTGGACATGACAACAACAGAAAATTGACCCAGAACAGCAGCTTTACACACCCAAGATAGTAGACATTGCTGTGATAGAGATGTATGGAGACATCTGAGGCTCTTCATTGGACATGACAACAACAACAGAAAATTGACCCAGAACAGCAGCTTTACACACCCAAGATAGAGAACATTGCCGTGATAGAGATGTATGGAGACATCTGAGGCTCTTCATTGGACACTACAACAACAGAACAGCAGCTTTACACATCCAAGATAGAGAACATAGCTGTGATAGAGATGTACGGAGACATCTGAGGCTCTTCATTGGACACTACAACAACAGAACAGCAGCTTTACACACCCAAGATAGTGGACATAGCTGTGATAGAGATGTACGGAGACATCTGAGGCTCTTCATTGGACACTACAACAAC